TGAACGAGTTTTTTCAAATCAAAAAATTTGGTTGCGTTTTGAAAAAATTTGCAGTGAGTTTTTTGAACGAGTTTTTTCAAATCAAAAAATTTGGTTGCGTTTTGAAAAAATTTGCAGTGAGTTTTTTGAACGAGTTTTTTGAACTGTTGTTTGTGTTTTTGAAAAAATTGAATGAGTTTTTTGAACGAGTTTTTTGAATTTTGGTTGTGTTTTTAAAAAAATTTACACTAAGTTTTTTGAACAAGTTTTTTGAACTGTTGTTTTCAAAAAATTATATTGAAAGATTTTGATAGAAAATTGTAGATTTTTTATATAATCCTTTATTTAATTAATAAATAAAAAAATATATATTCAAAAATTATAAATTCAAAAATATAAAAATAAAATCTATGCAGAATATCCATTTCTGTTTCCAGTGATATGATTATGAGATAACTTGAATTCGATTGCTTCTTCTTTATTTTTAAAATATTTTGTTTTTAATTTTTTGTTTTCTCTCCAAGCAAATCTCCATCTTTTATCTCTTTTATGATAACTAATTCCATTGTATCCTGAAATATTATTTGTTTTTAATTTGCAATTTGACATATTTTGACTATGAGTAGTTTCTCTGAGATTACATTCTCTATTGTCATATCCAATTCTGTTGATGTGATCAATCATTTTCCATTCAGAATGAAGCAATTGATGAAAATTTCTTTTATTATCTTTTTTAATTTTTGTTGCAATATAATATGTATTTGATCCTGTTGGTTTATGGGCAGTCCATGTATGAGATCGAATATATTTGTAGTTTTTAATATCAGTAAGAAAAGTGATTTCTGGTTTTTGAGTTTTAACTTCAATATAAGATATGCTATCAATTGAAATAAGTCTAATCTGATTATAAACTTTTGTTCCATGTCTATTAGTTTGTTTTAAGATTCCCCACATCCAATTGTCAAGAATCTTGAATGTTGGATGAATTTTTTTCCAAGGTGAATTTTTAGTTTCTCGCTCAAAGTTTTCAGAAGACATTTTTAATTTTAAAGAATAAAGAAAATAATATTTATTTATATAAAAAAATAAGTATTTAAGTAAAAAATCTGAAACTTTAGATTTTAATGTAGATTTTTATGCTAAACATTTTTTATTAATACACAAAGACATGTTTGTTAGCAAGAATTATTATTTGTAAATGAATTTGATGAAAATTTTAACTTAAAGAAAAAAAATAAAATTCGTGACGATTAAAATCGTAAATAAATCAAAATTTTATTAGAAAAAATTACAAAGTGGTTCTAATAAAGTACATGTGTTTTTAGCTATTCTACATTTTTTACTAAGAGTGTAAAACAGATTGTATTAGTAAAATTTTGTGAAAAATGCGATTTCTTGTTGTATGAACCTAAAAAAAATTTTTCAAGGGATTCCCTTTATGAATTTTTGTAATATCTCGATAAATACCCAACAAAACAAGATAAAATTTGAGATACAAAGAGGTGAATACCTTACCTTTAAACTTACTTAGAAGCGTAACATAGGGTTAGACCTACTGAACACCTTCCGAAATCGATTTTATGTGAGAGAGAGAAGAAAAAAAACGTTTTGCTTAAAATTTAGAAAAATCGTAATAGCTTAACGAATATTTGATAAAAAAAGCTGAAAATTGAGATTTAAGTTCTTTGATACTTACCTGACAAGTTTGCTTAGTGGCGTTTCCTTTGTTTCCTTTGACCAAAGTGTCGAAAACGTGATGTGAAGTTCTCGCGAAAATAAAAAAAACAAAAAAAAAGAAAAAAAAAAAAGAAGAAAAAAAAAGAATTCAAAGTCTATAACCTCCAAAGATACTATCGGGGTTTTTGCAATAGGCGTTTGGGTATGGGGGAATTAAACCTATTGTCCCGTATGTATGGGCCAGGCATGACAAGTGTCTACCATTTTAAAGGTCGTCTACAGTTATGTATGGCCTTTAAATTCAACTATACATATGTTGAGAAGCCACAACACTTCTCACATATGTAAAGCCCAAGAAAAAAGAAAAAAAACTATATACTGTTTTTAAAAAAAAAAGTTTCTTGTAAAAACTATCTAAAAAAAACTATACTAAAAAGAAAGTATCGGTAAAAAAACAACAACAAAAAAAAATATATGTAAAAAGTGAGGATATACGTTGAACATTTTTTTTTGTCATACAAAAATTGATTAGCCTAATTTGGATATATGTAAATCGTCCTATATAAATTTTACTTTACTAATATATTTATTTATATTGATTACTGTAAATCTTACTTTAATTATTTATATATTAAAATTCGTGATATAAAAAATCATCATCAATCAAAATTTTATTAGAAAAATGTACAAAGTGCTATTATCAAACTAATATTATTTTTGAGAGATACACATTTTTTGTTAGTAGCATAAAATCGGTTGTCTTAATAAAATTTCTCACAAATCGTGATTTTCGATGTTTCGTGGGATTTTCTAAATTGATCTACATAGCAAGTATCAATTTTGTCTTCATCAAAATTTGGCATCTTTTCGTGAGTTTTGCTCCATTTCTTGTGAAATTTTACATATGAACTCTTTGACCTTATCTGTACCAACTTGATTAATGACACTTTCAATGTTTTGTTTGACCAAAGTATCGAAATTAATAAATTTATTTTTTATTAATAATAAAAATAAATATTGTAATCAAACTTATCCTAATTTAGGATAAATTCCAGATTAACCAAAGGTAGACTTTAGCTTAAATTTATACAATATCCTAAAGTAGACATTTAGGATAAATTTCAGATTAACCAAAGGTAGACTTTACTTTACATTTATACAATATTCTAACATATATATAAAAAGTAGAACAAATTTCAGATTAACCAAAGGTAGACTTTACTTTACATTTATACAATATTCTAACGTATATATAAAAAGTAGAACAAATTTCAGATTAACCAAAGGTAGACTTTAATTTAAATTTATACAGTGAATTGAATTTATCCTAACGTAGATATAAACAAGATTCCAAATTTAGAACAGATTCTTGTAAGTTCTAAAAGATTAGCCAAAGGTAGACTTTACTTTAAATTTATACAGTGAATTGAATTTATCCTAACGTAGATATAAACAAAATTCCTATTTTAGAACAAATTCTCATGAGACAGATTAACCAAAGGTAGATTTTGCTTTAAATTTATGTGATTCTAAAAGATTAACCAAAAGTAAACTTTGCTTTAATTTTATGGTGAATCAGATTCATCCTAACGTAGACATTCCAAATTTAGAATAAATTCTAAAAATTAACCAAAGATAAATTTAATACTTAATAAATTTATTTTAAAAAAATAAGAAGGATAAATTTATTCGTAAATATCTACAATATTAAAAAATATAAATTAAAGTAAATTATTAATTTGAATATTAAAATAAACTCTTATATTCAAAATGTCTTTTATATTTGAAACAAAAAAATCTATCTTAAAGAATTCATTTATTCGTAAAGATCAAAAAAATAAAGATAAAAAATATAAAAAAAAATCTAAAAAAGATAAAATTGAATCTGAAAAACTACAGAAAAATAACTTAGATCAAAAAATATTTGAAACTAAAGAAAAAATCGAAATTATTGATGATGAAACTAATCTTAATAGTGAAAATTTAATTTCTTTTATAGTTGAAACAAAAAAATCTATCTTAAAAAATCCTTTTGTTCGTAAAGATCAAAAATATAATAAAGAAAAAATTGAACTTCTAGAAGAAGAAACTAATCTTAGTAATAAAAATCTAATGTCAATTAAAAAATTAATTAATTAATTTTTTTTTAAAAAATTTCGTTTAATTCAGTTCTATTGTACAACATATTTTATTATAAATATTGTAATTTTTATTTGATATTCTTTTTTTTTTTAAATAAAAAATCATGAAAAAAATTTCTTCTCATCAAATTTTTAATTACTACGAACAAAAAAATAATAAAATGGAATGTTCTGTTTGTAAAAAAGAATACAAGAATTCAATTGAGAATTTAAAAAAACACTTTCGAAAATTTCATTCAAAAGAATGGAAAAAAATCAACAAAAAAAGATTTGATCCACAAACAAAAAAAATTAATAATTTAAAAAGAGGATTACGAGTAATTTTTAATGACTCTTTTGAAAACTTAGATAAGATTAATTTCAAACGAATTAAAGTCTTTTATGATTAAATCTTAGTAATCATATTTATTTATTTATAAATATTATCTACATTAGGAATCTTAAATCTTATTGGTTCATAGTCATATGTAATAAAGTATATAAACACATCTTATCATAAAAAATAATTGGTTCTTTGAATTATGCTAAATAAGGAATTATTAAAATTATGCTTAAAATTCTATGAAAAGGTTTTTCCGTTACTAAAATTATGAATATATAAGGTGTCGATTTTATGCATCGGAATGCAATGTCTCAATTCATTTACGAAGATAAAAATTCCATATATACAAACCCATACCTAAAAAAAAATCGAAACAAAATGTCTTCAACAAATGCTGCATCCTCAATTGACTATAAAACCCTCTTTGAACAAGAAAAACAATTGAAAGAAGAAGCTCTTGAAAAACTTGAAAGAGTAAATACAACTGCAATTCTTATTATTAATAAATTGCAGCGAGAAAATGTTAGTCTCAAGGATGAAAAAAGTATACTTGTTGAAGAAAAAAAAAACCTATTTGAAAAAAATATGGAATTAATCGAAGAAAATGAATCTCTTATTATCCGTAATCAAATATTGGTTATGGAAAAAAATCATCTTGAAAGAATTTATCAAGAAATGTCGGATTTTTTGATGTTTCTTTTGGATTTCTTTGGTAATGGATTTGAGGTCGCAAAAAATATATTTTATAATAATTATTATTATCATAATTATTTTATGTCTGAACCTGAACCAAATCTTGATCAAAATGAAATCGAGGTTGAAAAAGAAAGTGAAAGTGAAAGTGAAATGACTGATATTATTTCAATTGGTACAAATAGTTTAGATGATGATTATGACAATTATCTACTTGATAGAGAAAAATGTAATAATTTTATTTATCATAAAGATAATTGTAATTAATTTTTTTATTTTTTTTATCACTTGTATTTATAATTTTTTTTTTAATAAATTTATATATAAATAAATATTTTATAAAAATTTAATATTCGAGTTTACTACATTCCAAACATAAATAATGATGATGATTATCGTATATTATGTTGTTATATGTAAAAGAAAAATTATGTATTGTGCAGTTATTTACATTACAATTTATATTATTTGGAATATAAATAGAGTAATATGAACAATATTTAAGAGCTCCACATCTTTGACAATAATCTTTCATATAGTTTTCATTAATAATATTTGAATCAATAAAATAAAAAAATCCTTCAAACATATTTGATTTATATTTTTTTAATTGTAGATAGTAGGAATTATCTTCAGTTTGAATCTTTCTTTTTTCTTTTTTACCCTCATAATCAAACAATACCCATAGTATTTTCTTAGTTTTTTTCAATCTATAATTTAAGAAAACAGGTTGTTCATGAATACAAGGAACAAATTTTTTCATCAAACGGTATTCAATTAAATTAGTTTTATAATACTTGTCACATATTGTAAACCATAATCTACAACTATGTTTAATATTAAAATAATCGTAATGAAAAAATAATGTGATTTTTTCAGGTAAGATAAATGAAAAAATCATTAACAAAATTTCTGTTGAAAAATAATTTATATTCATTTTTTTTACTTAATATTAAGTTGAACAGTTATTTATATAAATATTTTATTATATTTGAAATTTTAATAAAAAGTATTCTTAGTAAAATTTGCTTTACATGAATAAAATTCTTTCGATAATTGAATCCAATTATCAAGTACATATTTCATATAATTTATATCAAATAATAAATTATTTTCATCTCGATAATTATTTAGATTTATATTTCTATCTACAACTTTCTCGTAATATATTTTGAATTTTTCCATCCTATATCTAGCAAAACTGTTATACATTAAGTATACTAATATCTCATCTTTTATTTCATTCAAAAAATATTTGAAACATGTTTGTTCATGTTCATACACATAATCAACTTCATTAATCATTTGATAAGTTTTTTTGTTCCTATATAAATTTATTATTTCATTTTTAAATCTTTGTATTTGTAATGTATCTATATGTTCATTATATCGTTGTATTTGATTCATTTTTTTTTTTGAATAAAATATGTGGAATATGTTTATTATTTATATTTTTTTATAAATATATGTTTAATATTTTTTTGGTTGTTTAAAAAATTATTTTACAAAAACATTAAAATAAAACTATAAAAAGATTAAATTTTCTTATTTAAAACTAAAAAAAAAAAAGAAATTAAAAAATGTCAGAAACAAATTTGGTTAAACAAATAAAATTTAAACTTATCAATTATTACACTTTGGATCCATCATCTCCGAGTTTCGAAGCAGAGAAAAAAATGTTTATCGATGCTGGATTTACTTGTGAATTCTCTCATAAATTAAACAGATATAAATTTAAAGCACCTGATAATTTTTATAAACATTTCACAAAAGAAATAACTAAATAATATTAAAATTTATTTTTCATCAACAATATAATTTTTGTTTTACAATATTCATGTATAAATTAAAATCTATAAATAAAGATCATTAAATTTTTTAAATTTTAAATTTTGAACAAATATAATTTATTAAAATGATTTTTTTTGTTTTATTATTTACATATCTTATTATTTACAAAATATTAGATATGAATGAAAATTTAAGAAAAGAACGTTTGAAACATCAAAATTCATCAAATATTTATGATGTAGTTTTGTTAGTAGCAAACAAAACAGATTTTAATTATTCAGTTGAAAGAGAACCATTTTACAAAATGTTAGATAAAATAATCGATAAAGAATTATTGACAACAGAAGAAAAAAACAAAATCATTAACGAATTTCCAGAATTTCAGAATATTTTAAAATAAAAAATAATTTTTTATTTAAATTTTATTATAATTTTTATTTGTATCTTAATAAAATATTTTTTATATAAATAAATATTATTTTCTTTATTTTTAAAATTAAAAAAAATGTCTGCTGAAAACTTTAAACGAGAAACTGAAAGTTCTCCTTGGAAACAAATTCATTCTTCATTCAAAGTTATTAATAATTGGTTTGGTGGAAAGAAATCAAACTATCATAATAGAAAATATAAACTCTATAATCAGATCAGACTTGTAACTATCGAAGGTTTTGTTTACTTAGAGGTTAAGACTCAGAAACCAGAGATCACTTTTCTTTGTGAAGTATCAGACTATACCAAACTCAGACAACATATTTGGATTGCTGATAAACCAAAAAGAACAAACACATATTATATCACAACAAATATTAAACAAGATAATAAAAGAAAAACTTTAAAATTTCATCGATTGCTTCATCCTGAATGGACTATGATTGATTACATAAATAGAGAAGGTTGTGATAATCTAGAAATTAATCTTAAAGAAACAACTTCTATTGAGAATCAACTAAATCGTAGATTAAGTAAAAATAATATTAGTGGATATAATGGAATTTATAAAAAAAAATATAAAAATAAAAGTTATAGTTATTGGATTTTCAATTATCAAAAAAATAAAAAACGTAAACAAAAATGTTTTAAGACTAAAGAAGAAGCTATTAATTTTAAGTTAGCTCATGACAAAATCACTGGAAACAAAAATGGTTATTCTATTTAATTTATAATAAAATTTAAGTTTATTAAAAAAATATATACAAATAAAATAAAATCTATTCTTTATCTATATTATTATCAATGATTTCTTCAATTAATTCTACGATTATTTCTTTTGGTTCTTTTTGACCTTCTGATAATTTTTGTTTTTTACGTTCTATTTCTTTTTTAATTTTTTCTAGTAAATTTTGTGTTTGACATACTAAAATTTTCATTTTATATGCTTGATCATACGCATTTTCTGAATAATTTTGGTTTGTTACTATAACACCAGTATCTTCTTTGTGATAACTTTTCATAAACCCACTTATTCTTTCAACATCATTAAAACCTATATTATTATAATCTCTAAATTTGCAACAAATAAAAATTTTAAAATCTTCAAAATCAGCAACAAGATATTTGTCACGATCAGAATAAAATATCTCTTCTTCATTTTCATAACTTCTACATTCAAAACTATTATTATTCAACAAAGTTTGAATTTTTTTCTTATATTTCTTACATGCTGCTTCAATTTCTTTTTTCTAAGAAAAAAAATAATAAGTACATCATAATTTCATAGTACCTTTAGCAAAGCTTGTCTCGGACCTCACTTTAACTAAACTCTCTAATCTACAGAGGCGACTATTTTCCGGAAATCAGACAAAAATCTCACTCAACTCCAGCGTAACTTACATTTGAGAGTATACATAATCATGCAATACTTAGCAAAGAAAAAATGTTCATTACCTTATTATTTTTCTTAACTTGATATTTTTTGACACTCGAAAAATTTTCAGAACTCATTTTTTGCTTACAAAAAACTGTTTACACAGAAAAAATTTTAGCGTGACATAATGACAAAAAAAAATTATGATGTATATAAATAAAAAAAATCCAATCTAAAAACAGACAAGAAACATAATCATTACAAAATTTAATGATCTGATGATCAAATTTGAAACAAAGAAATATCAATTTATAGTATATATGCATCAATTTTTATATGTTTTACAACATTAACAGATTTTCCAAAAATGAAATAAACCAGAATTAATCATTTAAATCAATTGATCGTAAAATTTTTTTTATCATTTAATAATTAATAATTTGTTTATTAATATATATTTTTAACAAATAAAAATTTAAAATACTTTATATTTATACGTATTTTTTTTTAATAATAATGAATGTTTAAAAAAAAACTATTTTTTAGATCTCTGCCAATTTTTAGTGGCTGTTAAAAATAATTTATCTGATGAAATTCCTTCTTTCTTTAATCGTTTCATTTCATTGCTCATGAATATATTATATTTACTTGGTTGTCTTTTCTTTTTAGGTTTTGTCTCTTCATTTAATTTTATTTTCTTTTTAGGTTTTGTTTTTGATTTTTCTACAACTAATTCTTCTGATTCTTCAGAATCTGAATCATCGTAAGATTCTTCTTCAGTTTCTGTTTCAATATTTTCTGATAGTTCATCTTCATTTAATTCTATTAAATCATTAATACCTTCTTTGATTTGTTTAATACTTTTTAATAATAATAACGATTTTAATTCTTTTACTGTAGCCATAATTAAACTCAAAAAAAACTTTATTACTTAATTTGTAAAATACATTGTATTTATATTTATATTTTTTTTAAAAAAATAAAGAATAAAAAAAAATTAATTATCATAATCATCGTCATCATCATTATTATCATCGTTATTGTCACCATCATCATATTCTCGTTCAATAGTTACTGTAAACTCATTACATTCATAATTTATTTCATAAATAATATTTTCTTTTAACAATTCCCAGTCTTTATCAATCCAAGAATCAAGAAGTTTATTTAATTCTTGTTCAATATTATCTTGAACATTTTTATGTTTAACTTTATCAAATGTTTCTTCCCAAATGCATGTTTTGTTTGTGAAAATTTGGATACTATAAACAATATTAATATACAGCATCAAAATAATCAAAATTTTGAAATTCATATTTTTTACGTTTTTTTATTCACAATTGATAAAAATCAGTTCCTTAAATATTAAAAATTAAAATAAAAAATCAGATGATCAGATAATATTTATTAACAAATTTTTAAATAATTTTATGATCGAAAATAAAAATATAATTTTAATAAATTTATATATAAATAAATATTATTCTTTAATTTTTTTTTTTAAAAAACTAAAAATGTCTCTTGAACAAAAATCTTTTATTTCTCCTTGGAAACAAATACATTCTACATTCAAGGTTATTAATGATTGGTATGGTGGTAAACAAGGATCAGATTCTCATAAAAATAAAATTTTTAATCAAATTAGACTTGTGACAATTCAAAAGTTTGTTTATCTTGAAGTTAAAACTCAATTAGATAATATAACTTTTCTTTGTGAAGTATCTGATTATACCAAACTTAGACAATATGTTTGGTATGCTCGTAAAGGTGGAAATACATATTATATTACAACAACTATAAAACAAAATAATAAAAGAAAAACTTTACAATTTCATCGATTAATCAGACCAGAATGGTCTATGGTTGATCATATTAATCGTTCAGGATTAGATAACAGAGAATGCAATCTCAGAAAAATTACTCACAGTCAAAATATGTTAAATTGTAGATTAAGTAAAAATAATACCTCAGGATTTAATGGTATTCGTTATGATAAAGTTGGTAAAAGATGGAGATTTTACTGGAATGAAAATAAAAAATATAAAATTAAAAACTTTAAAACTAAGGAAGAAGCAATCGAATTCAAACTAATTCATGACAAAATTACAGGAAACAAAAATAGATATTGATTTTAATATCATTTATATTTATATTTTTATTAAATTATTAATTAAAAAAAAATATTAAAAAAAATTATTATATAGTAAAATTAATCATCGTTATAATTACACAATATTTTATTAAAATGAAATGAATAGTTATTGTGTAATTATAACGATAATCAATTCAAATTAATCAAAACATCTCTTAAATGCTTTTCATGACATTAAATTATCTATATTAAAATAATGTCATTTTTGTGATCTGACATTATTTGAATGTCACTTAATATTTATAACAAAATTAATAATCCTCATTACATGACAATTTTTCAAATAAAATGAAATGAATAATTATCGTGTAATGAGGATTATTAATTTAAATTAACTAAACTTCTCCAAAACTTTTCTTAAATGCTAAAAGATTTAAATATTATTTTTTAATTAATATATATTATATAAAATTTATTTTTATATTTATATTTATAAAATATATTAAAAAAAAATAATTTCTTTTGTAAAGATGAAAAATACCTTAAAATAAAATAAATTTTAATAATCTCTTTCTTGTGAAGATAAGGTTATCTTCTTCGATATCAAAATTTTCAATTTCATTAAAAAATTTAATTTGTTGATTTTGTATTTCAAAAAAAGAAATCAGTTTTCTGATATGATTTTTGTTGAGATTTATTCATATTTTTGTTTTTAATTTTTTTCATTTTGTACAAAAAAAAATTTAATTAAAAGTAATTTTTAATCGTCAAGACCAAGTTTTATGTAGGAAATTGTAATAGAATTAAAAATAATCATATGGAGCTTACAACAAAGAATTTAAAATAATCATATGATACTGAAAATGAAACTAAATATATTAAAGTTAACCAAAAATAGTATATATAAAGATAACAAACTTGATAATCTAGATATTTTTTACGTTTAAAATGATTTTAAAATTATTTATAATCTTTTTATTGATATTACAAATAAGAATATTTTTAGATATTCTTTGTATTACTCTTAATGATAAAAAATATTCTGTCAATCATTTAACATTTTGTAAAGAGAAATATTTTTTTATAAAAAGAAGTTTATTGGTTCAAAATAAAGTTAAATCAATACAAATTTAGATAAATCATTAGAAGTTTCTACAACGAAATTCTATTTTAAATTTATATAAAATGAAACCAAAATCATCTGCATGCATTACAAACTTTTCTACATAAAATTAATATAAAAGTAAACTATCTACAGCCAAACATGCCATCTATTTTCGAAAACTTTTTTTTTTCAAACGTTAAATTTTTTTTTAAAAAAAAATTATTAAACTCTAAATACGAAAATATGATTTATAATCTTGCTACTCCTGAACAACCTGGCTTTTCTTATCTCTATCTGTTTAAAGAAGATTGGCGTCCATCAATGGCTGATGAATGCAAAGAATCTCCAACTGTAAGAAGAGTTGTGGAGATTGTTATTCAGAATCCAAATCTTCACAAAGAGATGCTTGCAGATTATAAAGTAAAAGCAATACGTTTTGACGAAATGAAAACTTTTACTATTGAGATTCCACCATCTGATGATTGGGAGCCTAGTGGAGATGAATGGTTTGGAGTTAAAAATTTATTATTTTTTATTGGAAAAAATTTTCAAACATATAGATTTTCATAAATGTATATATTTATATTTTTATTTTATATTTAATAAAATAATTATTTACCTCTAATATATAACTCGCTCTGGAAAATGTTCATAAATAAAATTCCAAAAATAAATAGAATATATTGTATTTATTATTGCAAGTGATATTAAATATATTACAATAATACAAATCCAAAAAAAGGTTTTGGATTCAATTATTTCTGTAATGAGTTGGTGAATATATGTATTATATTCACCAAGAGAAAGGTTCGTCAAGAACAAACCAAAAAGAGTAAGAAAAACAGCAACAAGAATAATAATTTTTGAAAACATTTTTTAAATATAAGAGTTTAAAGTAATTTTAAGTTTTGATTTGAAAGATTTTAAGATTTTAACAAGTAAATCGTAATGAACAAGAGACAAAATTTCTTCTGTTTTATAATGAATTTTTTTCTATACTGTTCTCTCGAACACTGTTGATCTTTAATATTTCATATACAAATATTTTTTTTTTACTTTATCAAAGTTGGTATAACAGAAATCAAAAGAATGTTGGGTCTCGATCTAATTGATAAGAATCAATAAATACAAATTTAGATAGATTAAAAATTACGTTAAAAAAGTTATATAAAGATTAATTAATTTTATTATTACTAATTTTAAATAATATAAATACGTATTTTAT